ACCCCAGGGAGGGGGTTATATGTAGATCATTGTGATCAGTTTCCCCTTTCTCCCCCCACCTTCCCTTTACCCTCCTGGTACCGCTACTCTCATTATTGGCCCTGAGGGGTTTAGCTGTTTTGGATTCCCTGTGTTGTGAGCTCTTGAATCTGTACTAGTGTACATGCTCTGGTTGGATTTATAAGGTAGAATTGGGTCATGATAGTGGGGGGGTTGGAAGTACTAAAGAACTAGAGGAAAGTTGTATGTTTCGTTGTTGCTATACTGAGCTGAACTTTTTTTTATTGCTACATTTGGTTTAAGATAATTTGCTACTGGTTGTTAAACTATTTTTATGATGGCAGCTTTAAAATCCTTGTCAGATAATTCTAGCTTTTGATTAATCTCAGTGTTGATGCTAGTTGATTGCCTTTTCGTATTCAAGTTGTAACTTCCTTGGTTCTTGGTATTATGGGTGAGTTTTGATTGAATTCTATATATTTTATCTAGTATATGAAAGGAGACTGAGTCCTATTTTAGCTGTTTAGTTTCGTAAGCAGTCATTCAGTTTAGGTTTCACATGAAATCCTGGCCTTTTATCCTGCTTCCTGACCCGCGTTTTATGTACCCATTTATCTATTGATGGACCCTTTTGAGGCTTTTTGCACCCTCTGGGGATTGCAAATATGCTTCAGGGAAGATTGGTGCTCATGCACCTGCCTGTTTGAGTCCCTGCTTTCTATTTTGTGTATATATGGTGCTTATGAGTGGAATTGTTGGATCCGTTAGGAGCCCTATTGGCATAGTGGTCTATGAGAGAAAACAGTGGCAGAACCATGTGGGATATTTTCACTACCCCCTGGAGCCACTGGGAATTGGCATTCACTTGCCAGCAAAGGGTTTGGGGCTTTGGTGTGTACTAAGCCTTTGAGGAACCACTCAGCTGTCTCCCTCAGCTGCTGTGCCATTTTTTGTTTCCACCAGCAGTGGATGAAGGCTCCCGTTTCTCTGCATCTTTGGTTTGATCTATTTTTTGTGAGTGGTTGTTTCCAATAGTAGTTTAATTTTCAGAGTATTATTTTGATGATCCTTTGTCCCCCAAGGATCTAGATCTTAAATAAAACCCAAAGTCAAATTTACTGCCAGAGTCAATTGTGACTCAGTAGAGCCGATTAGATGACATGACCAGAGAGCTGAAGCCTGACTTCACCTTCACCTTGGAGGTTACCGTCATAGCGGAGGACTTATACAGTTTTTGTCCTTTTGGGATTACCTAACTAATGTCACTCAGCAAAATAGTTTCCAGGTCCATCCATGTCATGAGGTATTTCATGGTTTCAGTGCTACTTTTTAGGAATGCAGAGGATTCCGTTGTGTGCAAATGAACATGGGCTAGCATGTCTATTTGTGTTCTCTCTTTTACTTCTTTGGGGTGTATTCCCA